TCCTGTTACTACGTACACGTGCATGTGTAACGTAAAAACTGGATCACTTGCACGACAGGAAATAAAAAGATATTGAAAGAAGCACAGTTGCCGCGTTCTTGTGATTTTCCTTGATGTTGATGTTGCTGTTTTTCTTTTATTTTTTTACTTTTTCTTCCTTTGTTCTATCAAAATGGTTCGTTATACACTTAACTGTGATGTTAAGAATGTATAAAAGTCAATGCGCAAACAGAATTAACAAGTTAAATTAAAGTGAATTCAGTTAAAAATAGAGTACCTATTGTTATCATAATGAGTCATCGCGTTCAGTTTATTGTGAAAATCTTGATCGAATCCCTTCCGAGCTGTTTTAGTAGCAGTTCCCGACTACATTTCAATTGTGGATGATGACGACCGGAAATTCTTCAAAGTCAGGTTGCTGTCATCGTCTGTACTGCGCGACTTTTGTCGTCGATTCGATCAGGAAGATTTGATTATTTGGAGACATTAATAAGACCGCAGGCGGACCTCTCTGTTAATTTGTTAATGCGGTTATAAATAAGACATACGAAGGAAACATAAAAACATGGCTAGTGATCCTGAATAAAGCATTGGATATAATATAACTTTTTGAACGCATCGTGATCAGAAATCTCTATTAGCCCTTTAACTCCCAAAGGTAAATGTAACTTCTCCCTACAATACTCATACATTGCCCGGGAAACAGGTAATGAGAAAACTCAAACTTATCAGTTAGTTTGGCTAATAGCCGCAACTTGGTCTGCTTAGGGAATAGTGGAACATTTTTCACTCCCTACTAGCTCCAGTTTCGTAATGAGGCAAGAATATAGAGAGGGCTAAAAGTTAGTATACCTGCCCTCCCCTAGACGATAATGCACGATTTACTTGAAAGTTGGAGTGGAGGAGAAAATTGTGCGAGAAGACAGTGTGAGACGATAACTGCGTTTGTAGAAATGTAACAAAACGCAACATGCAACAGAATGAAAGAGAAAAAAGCGTCCTTTGATAATATAGATGTATTTAACGGCCTTAAGCAAGGGACTCGCCCCCTTAGCAGCATCTAAATGACACCTCTACATTCAATCATAAAAACCCCTTTAACAAATTTACTTTATGATACAGTAAAGTTGAGTAAGTTAGGTTATTAATAACATGGAGTATATCAAGCCAGTATCTAAAGCCTCAATTAGACCTTAGAACCATAGTAACAACCAAATTAGTTCTAATACTTACATATACTCGAGGGGGGAGGGGTAGCTATCGCCTATTTAGTATTGGGCTTTAGTGAGACCATTCGCCGGTGGCCATGCTATGCTCAGTGTCAACTGATCACAAAGATGACGAAATTGTCAGTGGCTGGAGTCACGTTGGAGCCCGAGTCTAGTTCGAGTCGCGACTCAAGTCCTTGTCGACCAAATTTTTCCGATTTTTGCTTTTGGCCTGTTTTGTGTCGAAATGATGCACCATGGATTCAAGAGCATCAAGTTTTAAGGTGTTAGTTTTTTTGTTGTCATTATTGACAGCTATAGTGATAATGAAATAATTTGGATATGTCAACAAAGTTGAAATGGTAAATTGGCCACCGTAACGATTACAAAAGCTGACGTTTCGAGCGTTAGCCCTTCGTCGGAGCGAATCGTTCCGACGAAGGGCTAACGCTCGAAACGTCAGCTTTGGTAATCGTTACGGTGGCCAATTTACCATTTCAACTTTGTTGACATATCCAAATTATTTCATTATCACTATAGCTGTCAATAATGACAACAAAAAAACTAACACCTTAAAACTTGATGCTCTTGAATCCATGGTGCATCATTTCGACACAAAACAGGCCAAAAGCAAAAATCGGAAAAATTTGGTCGACAAGGACTTGAGTCGCGACTCGAACTAGACTCGGGCTCCAACGTGACTCCAGCCACTGACAATTTCGTCATCTTTGTGATCAGTTGACACTGAGCATAGCATGGCCACCGGCGAATGGTCTCACTAAAGCCCAATACTAAATAGGCGATAGCTACCCCTCCCCCCTCGAGTATATGTAAGTATTAGAACTAATGTGGTTGTTACTATGGTTCTAAGGTCTAATTGAGGCTTTAGATACTGGCTTGATATACTCCATGTTATTAATAACCTAACTTACTCAACTTTACTGTATCATAAAGTAAATTTGTTAAAGGGGTTTTTATGATTGAATGTAGAGGTGTCATTTAGATGCTGCTAAGGGGGCGAGTCCCTTGCTTAAGGCCGTTAAATACATCTATATTATCAAAGGACGCTTTTTTCTCTTTCATTCTGTTGCATGTTGCGTTTTGTTACATTTCTACAAACGCAGTTATCGTCTCACACTGTNACAGTTTCTTTCGAAACTATCAGCCTTTATAGTGATAGTGTATCGTCAATCGATATAATATTTTATAGAAAAGGGAAAAAATTAATTTGACTCGAACTTGACTTGTGACTCGAACTTGACTCGGGCTCGACTTTGACTTCGGTACTGAGCTGCCATGGCTGCCGCCAGCGGCGACTAAATTCAGTTATGCTGCGAATGAATAAGATTTTTGCGGTGTGACCTGTGTTTTCTAACGTACTCTTTAAAAGTTTTCTAAGCTAGTTACTGTTTATTCACAGAACTGATTCAGTAATCAAACCTCCATTTCTTTTCTTCCAATAGTTAAAGTTATGTGAAAGTATCAGTTATGCATTAGGAGTAAAGTCACTAATAGGAGTAAACATACCACAAACAATGCAACATTTAACAACTATAAAGTTTCAGAAAAAAACAAGCTTTAGATTTGTGTTCTTCAATCAGTAGAATTACTCCAATTTAAGTTTTTGTTAACAGGAGTGAACGAGTGAGTGATATTGATTCTACGATGCAGGCAGGTGGTTTAAACCTATTTATGTTATTGTTTCTATGGTGACGGCCTCAGTTTCATTTCTGCGAATTTAAAGGAAAGAGAACCTCTGAAGCCAGCCCAACTGGCTCCTCGGTAATCTTTTTCATTTCCTAGATATCTTCCTTTTAGATTGGACGCATGGCAGTATTTGTACCACCAAGCGCCAGTATATCTTACAGCACAGTGTACACGGGTTCTGTCATTATCTCTGTCTTTTGTACTAAACGCCATATTATTATGAGATCCTAAAGAATCTCCCACTGTCCCTGAATATGAACCCACTTCAAGTCGGTACTTCGCCTGCTCATCACCAACGTTAAACTTCCCATATTTGGCGTAGTCTCTGACTCCGTTCCAGTCTTCCAGTTCTACTCGTAGAGAGCTCGATCTGGCAACCATTAACCTGTGGATCTTGTCATTTCCCAACCAGAACTCACCAGTCAGCTGACCAAAGCCTGCTTTGTAGTCACTCCATCCCCGATAGAAGTCTACCGGGCCATCCTGTCTTCTCTGGAACACTGTCCAGCCTCCACCGTCAGTGGTCATGTCGCAGAAGACATCGAAGTGTTCTTTACCATCTGGGTTGATAGAGTATACTCCACACCGAGTGAGGCCTATTTTCAACAAATCTGAAAAATCTGAGGGAGAATTGGAATGCTATCACAGTATGTAATCATATAATGATTCAATTACTACTACTGCTACTTCTTCTGATAATATCCCTAATGAAATATACTTTACAACAACGATAACAATAACAAGAAGATGATGATGCTGGTGATTATGTGTATGATGCCTATAGTGATATTAACAATCACTGCATTTGACGAAGGAAGACGCAATGTTAATATAGACTGAAGTGAGATTTTCTCAATGGAACGGCGGTTTGCGCATGGAAGGGTCTTGGAACACAAACACATTTTATTGTTAGGCCATATGCGTTTTGATAAAGACAGGAAACTAGCTCAGTTTTGTTTCTCGATCGCGCGAACAAGCGTCTTTTAAAAATTTTCTCGGAAAGATCTCATAACAAACCATTGCTAAGTGAGAAGGTTTTCTACTTATCTGACCAAGACAGATTCACATCTATGCCTAGGATCACGCCAAGATACTTATATAGAACTACTCTATCCAAATGGCTATCCTTGATTGTTAAGGTGACATCATTAAAAGCAGTAAGTTTCCTCGCACCACCAATGGACGTAAATTTAGATATCGAAACATTGATACAAGTGGTTAGTTTATATTCATTCAGCCATTGTGCTAAGATGTCTAATTCAAGTCTACGAGCTAATTCAGAAGAATAATATATGGCAGTATCATCAGTTTGCTTTTGTTTGCTTGTTTATTGTTTTAGACCACAGTTTTTGGCACTTTAGCACCCGGATAATGTATAATTTTTTTTTGTCTGAAGACAATTTTTCCGTGGCATTCGAGTTTGTTTTGCTATTGCCGTGGATAGTGTATGCCCTTAGATTTCTGACGCAATCTCCTGAGCTCTAGCAAAATAATTTGTTTGTGTTTGATTCCACAACCTGTCACACCACCGGTGCTTTTCATCTCTCTAAATCTTTGTGAAATTAAAAACTGTTTCGATCTAGTCTGTGACGCACGCACAGCCTACCTTTATGTGGTTTAGCTTCTACAACGCTTATTGTCTCGATATGAGATACCCCTGCACTTGTAGCCACGCAAATATAGTTACCAGCATCTTCTTCAATCACAGATCTCACGATAAGCCCCTGTTATGTAATTTGACTCCTTCCCACCGGTAGTTGTGCTCCTTGTTTATTCCAGCTAATGAAAGGTTGTGGATCACCAGTAGCGCTGCAGTTTAACGTCAAAGTGTCGCCTGGGAGTGCAAAAACCTTTGCAGGGGGCCTAATAGCAAACTGGGGCTGGGAAACAACCACCAAGTGAGTTCTTTTTACAACACTTCCCAGAAGATTTCTGGCCGTACAGAGGTAGTTGTCAGAATCACTCTTATGAACATCAAGGAGTTTGAAAACGTTGCTGTTGAACTGAAATCTCCCATGAGGTAATTGACCAAATGACTTGCTCCATGTGACTACCGGATAGGGATACCCAGTTACGTGACAGGTCGGTAGAGTGACTTTACTTCCTTCACCAGTGTAGAGGGGTCCAGGATGGAGAGTAACACGTGGACGAACTGTGAGAAGGTATAGTTTGTCAGTGTTATGGCTGTTTTGCTCATAAAACTATCCAATTACAAGTCTTGCGGTAGGAGACACTTCCCTTAGACACCCACCTATACACCTCTCAACAGGATATGAAGATTGAGATATTGATTATTTAACATTGTGGCTTGAACAGAATATCTAACCGGACTGATTCACTTCAATGTGAAAATTTCCTTAAAGCTGAACATGCTGGATGTGGCTTCGCGCTCTCATAGTTTAATATTCTTTTTTTTTTTTCATCGATGTTTGAAATGTTTTTAAACTGTTAGCGGAGAAAAGAAGGCCTGGTTCGATACGTAATCTTCGCTACTGAAAAACAGAAAGATTTATGAAACAAGGCCACAAATACTGAAGCAACAAGAAGGTTGATAATCTAGTAACCAAAGACTTTTTCATTCAAGCCGTTATTGGATTTGATATTCCTGACTGTGACTTACCGTTGACTTGTAACTGTACTGTTGCCTGATACTTTCCTAAGATGTTTGATGCTACACATTGATACAAGCCTGCGTCATTTCCTGCCACGTTTCTTAATTGCAACTTTTCCTCTGAAACCGCTGACTGACTGATTTCCGACTGAGTGACCACTTTGGTCCATACTATTGCAGGCTCAGGGTTGCCGCTAGCTGAGCAATGAAACGAGGCTGATCCACCTTCGTTAACTGTCAAAGTCGCTGGAGAAACAGCAACAATAGGGGATGAAATTGATTGACCAGGCTCTCCTTTACTCCCCGGCATGCCTGTGTCTCCTCTATCTCCTTTCTGTCCTTTGTTTCCAATGTCTCCATTTAGGCCTGCAGGTCCTATGACGCCTTGCTTGCCGTTCTTTCCTGGTGACCCCATCATACCCTTGTCTCCCTTATTTCCAGTCTTCCCCTTATGTCCTCGTCGCCCTCGGGCTCCTTTAGGTCCAGGTGGACCGGGAGGGCCCTGTGGACCTGACGTGCACGTTGCAATCTTTGAGTGACAGAGTTGAAGTAGAAGTTTGCTGATACTGGATTCATGGTCGATTTCCGTTGAGTTCTCGACATGACGCTTATTTCTTCGGAAGTTAGAGGATCGACTTTCTACATATAAAGAAATACTGGTCAATGTTATCAATTCAAAATGGATTTTAGGAGACTTGGACAACAAACACAATGTATTTGTTACATTATCAGACGACATGTATCCGTTCCATAATTGCATGGGTATTGAAATCCACGTTGAGAATATGTTACGAATTTAATGTAAAAGAACCTTATAATTGCGGAAATTAGTCAGCCTTTGTCTCGAAACGGACTCTTCTGATTACGGTCAAACAGGTAGTAATCGCTTTCCAAATGCACAATTCTTCTGCACAATATCAAGAACTTAACCTGCTAACCCTCGCATTTGTTTGTTTCAGCGCATAGGAAGTATTGTAGTACATGCTTTTTTAATTCAAGTTTGTATTTACCTCAGTGACTGTTTATCTAAAAATGAAAAGCTCTAAAAAACCAGCCAATACATCGCATTTTTTGAAACAGAAACTCACCTGAGGAAATTTTGATACTCTTTGCGTCTGCCAGTTGATTTGACACAGGCTTTTTATCAGGAAAGCTTTCAAGATCGTTTAACCTCTTCTTGTGCCGGTTCAACTCCAATTCAATTCTAATAAATCCGACACAGTAAAACACAACCGACAACACAGAAATGATGGAAGCAAATGAAGTAAAACTTTGCTTTTGAACGGTTATTCTGATGACTAATTTTAGCTCCGGTTTGTTTTGAATGAATGTGATTTGATCAGGTGATATCGACTGAATCACGGGCCCGGGCTCCGCGCCAGCTCCTCTCAAATATCGTGTCATTCCGTAAACGTATGTCAAATTAAACCGGCCCTACTATCATTTTAGGTGTTGTAACGTAACTATACTTAACAACTCGGGTTAATTTAAATTTGTATAGGAACAGACATCTGATGAAGGGGTTGTTGGAGTTTGGCCAACTTAAAGAGTCTTCATCACAGGGGGCCCACAAAAGCGGCCATGTCTGGTCTTTTGTTGGAAATGTAAAGAAATGTATGGGAGAATATTGAAGAATCGTAATATCGTAAACTTATATCAAGGAATGTCTATGTTAAGGCTCAAAATAAATGTAAACCTACCTCACTTGCTGTGTATTGTCGTTTCTGTGGTTCTAAATGGCGAATTTGAGCGATTTAGTAGATTTTGCGTTGACTGTTACTTTACTGTATAAGGAGACAAGGGTGGAAAGCTCATTTTCGACCGCTCCAGCGCGAAGCTGATTTTCACCCAGAAATTAGAATCGCCCGGCTTCCAAATCAAACACCAGATAAACCAAAAGCTTGACGCTTCTTCTCGTGTCATTCAATCAAAGATCCATTCAAAATCCAAGCGCTAACCACCAGAAAACGTTTGAGAAATGCAGCTTTCCAAGCGATCGGCATCCGCGGCACAGATTTGGGGTATACTGAGCTTCATATATTTCATTGTATCTGATTTATCACTTTCACGGGTTTATTACGAATCAACTTAAAGGCCTGCTCCCAGTTGGCTTGTTAGCTCAATTGGTAAGAGCGCTGCACTAGTATCGCAGAGGTCAGTGGTTCGAATCCCGTACAGGCCTGATTTTTTTCAGGTCTGATTTTCGCTATTGCTTAAATAGCGCTATCTACTGCGAGGATCGTGCATCATACGTATCTAATACCGCAGTTCAAAATATATGAGCTTCATATATTTCATTGTATCTGAGTCTAAAATCTATTGTATATTGCCTGTGTGCCCGTAGAAACATCTTCCCTTTATGTAAAATGGCGCCATACGGGGCGATTTCCCAGATTTGAATTTGGTAAAGAACTTTGGTTTAGAGGGACGAATAGGACACTTTGAAAGCCAAAAACAATTACAAACATTTAATTTTTCTAACATTATCAAATTTTTATTTAAAATTCAGTTTAAGTAACTGTTTGTTCCGTTTTAAGCCTTAGTTTTTCGCTGCTGCGCAGCTAAAGTAAAAACTTCAAGAAGGAAAAGTTCCCGCCATGTTTTCTCTTCGAGAAAACTGTAGCGTCACTGAATGACTGAATTTTATTTAGATATCTACTGAGACTCTTATTTACTGATGAGAACAAAAGTAACTTGAGCTCGATTTTTGGCAAATTCGGTTGTTGTCCGCGATTTCAGCTTTCATTTGATAGTTTTTGCCAAGTTCAAGCCCTTTAAAAGCGTATTTCTAATATCGAGAATCGATGCACACTCGAAAAATCCATTTTTTATTTTATATTTCCATAAAATTCCCCTGGATGAATGTATTTAGGGAAAACTAATGAAAGGTTCCATTGAAGTTAAAGCTTTTATCTGGTAAAATATAAATGTCCAAATGTTTTTTTTTTTTGTTTATTTTGGCAGTCACTGGAAACGTAAAAACTATCCACCTTTAATACATTCATCCGAGGGAGTGTTATGGCAAAATAAAAAAAATCGTTTTTTTTTCGCGGGTTTATATCGATTCTAGATATTCTCAGAAATACGCTCCTATGAAAGCTTCAATTCAAGCTGAAGCAATAGAAACAAAACTCGGTTGAAGGAAAAGATAGCTGGACGGTGTTTGATTATATTCAGTGCACACGGCTCAATGTTTTGATCATTTGATTTTGCCGCCTCTGTCGTTTCTTAAAATTGAAATAGATCGTAAACACCATTGCACTTCTCGAAAAGTCGGCAAACCACAAGGCTGCACCTCACGGTTTACAAACTTTTCTCATGTTCTCCCAACATCCCGCGTGCTTTATTAGCCGATAAAACAATTGAAAGTGTGGTTCATTGATTAAATTACAGGTCTCTTCCTCTTCCCGACTTTCTGGGAAGATCGAAGGGACCACTGCTCATAAGGTATGCTCAGTTAATTATGGTTTCACTAAAAAGTTTCTTTTCTTGTTTTGTTTCTTTTTTTTTTTTTTTGTTTCGTTTTTTTGGTTGTTGTTTATTTGTTCCGTTTAAAAATATGGTGCATTTTAGTGAAGGCTTGAACACTCGTATCTGGGCAACGTTTTGACGCACGTATTAAACAGTACTTGAGAACCGTAGGAACCGACACATGAAAATGAAATCAGTAATTAACAAATGGTGGCGTTTTCGGTATTGTGCCATGATTTGATTTTAAAGAGGTCATAAACTCGTGATCTGTCACTTAAATGCAGTCTCTCCTATCAGAACGAAAAACGTTTTGTATTATTTTCCTCAAAGGGGCTTTTTATGAGAAAAATAAATAAATAAAATAAAGAAACTGACTTAAGCCTTGCAAACATTATCTTTAATATTCTAATCAAATACATTGGGGAAGTAACAATCATTTTCTGCTAGAACGTATCTAGGTGATTTACTCAGTGTTGTAAAAATCTGTCTGAAAGATGTCAGTCAACGTACACACAATCAGAGCGGGATTTATTAACATATGAAGCTAAATAAAGGCCGTTCATTTCAAGAACACAAGCCATGAAGCTACTGGGTACACCTTTTGTGTTTCTCTTTCGCAGAAAGCGACTCACGAGAAGCTTTATTCTTCTAGTCATATGTGGAGCGTTTGTGGTAGCTGTCAGGCATGGGATGTGGCTTGAATTAAAGCTTTCTATTGATGGTGAAAGTTATACTTTGAGTACAGATTACTGGAAAAAGTTCGCAGTCGCCAGTCCAGCAGTTCAAAAGAAGAGTTTGGAATTATCGGGGGCGAATGCCCTTATATGGAACAACTTCTGCCAAACTTCAGTTCAAGTTCTATGTTATCACCCTCTGTTTCCAAAGGCACCAGACGTGAAAACTGTTGTAAATTCATTGGAAGTTTCAAGAAATGAAGGTCATTATGCTCAGAGAATATTCGGGTTTCTACATCCACCGGAAACAGGATATTATAAATTTGCTTTAGCTTCTGATGACGTCTCTGAACTGTGGCTCAGTCCAAGCGAATGCCCAGAAAATGCTGTTTTGATTTGTAGCCTGAGCAAACGGACCACCAGAAATAATTTTCAACATTTGCCTTCACAGGTTTCCAACGAAATACAACTGTTAAAAGGTCATAAATATTTCATAGAAACTGTTCATCTTCAATTAGGGGGAAATGATTTTGTTCGAGTCGCTTGGAGCCTGCCTGGAATGAAAAGAAATAAGTTTGAGACGATTCCCGCCAATAGCCTTTCTCTCTTCATTAATAATAGTGCAACGGATAATAATTACAACTCTGTTCCCGACAGTCCCGCCTGTAAATCAAGACCCAGCCACGTTCACAGCCTAGAAACGAACACCAAATCCAGACCTACGTACCTTTTTCACGACGCAGTTGCCAACGTATTACCTTATTGTGCTTATGAGCCAAGTTATCTCACTATAAAAGAAGCACCTGTTGGCCCGAAACGGAATTACTACTTCCTACACGGTCGCGGCTTTATTCCCATAAAGAGTTACCCAGCTGTTGAGTACAAAACTGTTGTAGATGATTATCCAAGATTAGCGAATCACAGTCTGGATATGAAAATCGCAAAAGAAGCTGCAAAGAAGTATGTGGATGCATTATATCAACACCACGCAGGGTGAGTACATTCACGAATGGCATAGTTTTATAAAACAATGGACTTTACGTTTTTGGAGCATGAATATGTTTTAGGCCCGATTCAGAGTCATTTCAAGCCGAGGATTAAAATAAGCTCTTGGAGGAGCCAAAACATATTTATGCTCAATAAAATAAATTGCATTACTATTATTGTCACTGTGGAGGGCTTTGAGAAAATAATTAATGAGAAAATTGCGAAAAAATATTGACAACAAATAAGACTGAATAATCACGCGAGCGTGCAAATGCGCTAATATCTAGTCTAGCCAAAATCTTTATTTTGTCCAAAAAATGCGGCACAAGTCCAAATGAAGTAATTCTATATATTGTTGTTTTTCTTGTTTTTACTGTTTCGTTTTCGCAAAAGTAATGCTATTAGCAGTGCTGAAATGTAATTCATCAGGTACTTTTAAAATTGATACGGTAGCCCGATTAACACCTACATCATACGTTGACACCTTTCGAAATAATTGAACGTGCCCAATTGAGCACTCATAAGACAGTGAACTTGTTATGTATGTCATTCAAATAAATTACTTATCTCTCGTTTATTTTGATGTCGGTGATTAAGGAAAAGGTACAATTCCTGTCGAGGTTATAGCACTCAGTAAAATGTATAGTAAAAGAATATGTTGATTATCTCCTACTATTTAATATTTTTGTTTCTTTCTTTGTTGTTATTTTTTTTTTTTTTTGTTGCCATTTTTTATCTTTAAATATACACTACGAACTTTATAAAGTCATGATAAGCAGTTCACATTACATGGCAAGTGTAGATATTGGGTTATAATATCAACTTCACACGCTGTTGTATATTGGTTGTATGCTCTCGAATTATCAGAGCTTTCATATTAACTTTAATGTAAAATATTTCGCGATATCATGCTCAAACTCATATAATAATTGCTTATTATCATTATTATTATAACCATCACCATCATCATTTTCATCGTCGTCATCATTATCACCCTATTGTCAGCAGCTTTATTACCTCAAAAACTATTATTAATATCGTTATTAATGTTGTTGTCGTTGTTGTTGTTGTTTTTGTTGTTATTGTTATCATTTAGCGACAATTTTACTTTTAATTATCAAACAGAAAGTTCAAGGTTGTGGAACTCGTCAACGTGGAAAGAAAAGTCGATCGCCAGTTGGGAAGTCGATTCTTACTTGAGTTCCTAATAAATGTCACTGAAAAAAACCAACTGGCCATGCTTTCAGAATCTGTCTTTTTGCCCAAGGGCTCTAAAGACTTGTGTTATCCCAAGGGATTTCAGTGGAATAGAAATGCAAAAGTTGTCTTAATTATCACGCTCAAAAACCAGGGACGGTGGATGGTGCACTTCCTAAACAACTTAGAAGAAATATACAGTGCTACAAAGGACGACAAAGTGAGTCTAGTGATATTCAATTTTAACAGTTCTGACATAAATCTGGAACAAGAGTTGGCAATAAGGAAACTTCCTCCCACTAAAGTCGTCAGTCACGAAGCAGAGTACTATTCCCGTACTAAATCCTTCAACAGGGCTGTGGAACAAGTTCAGGATCCGAAAACCATCGTGTTCACTCTTGATCTTCACTTGGACTTACCTTCCACAATCTTTGACGACATTCGTAAAGTGAGCATAAATAATATTTACATAAGATTTCCTTCAAAGTATGGAAACATGAATAGTAAAGGGAATATTGTTGTGAAATTCTACTTATCGAAGCCAAGAAAGTATTACTTAACGCCATAATAACCATGTAAGTGAAAAACTCCAACTAACTTCTACTTTCAATACACTACTGCAAAAAATTCAAAACTAGTTTCGTCTACGACCTCGTCAGTTGACAACAAACAAAAATCTATAAAATTTGAAAAATTTTGAAAAAACGCACTCTTCGTGTAGTAATACACGAAAAGTAGCCACTCGGAAAGAGGTCTCTAGAACTGTTACATTGCCATAACTGCCCTCGGGATGCTGACATAATTCCATTCGCTTTTGGAATTGATTAATTTGTCCTCTTCAACCTCATTCATCAGTACAGATTCCGTTATCTGCCTCAACATTGCATCGTCACGAAAAACCCCCGTTACATTCATTACAAAGCCTACTTCATTTCTATCATGCCTGTCACAAAAATGTCTCCACAGAACAGAGCTCTCCTCTCGACGTTCTAAAGCATGGAAGTGAATGCTTTAGAGAGAGAGAAAGGGTTTGGCCGGTTGACTTGGAGACTAAGGTCATAAATTTGCAGCACTTACGGACCTACCGTTTAATAGACGAGTTTGCTTAGAACGAGAGAGGAGATTGAAATGCAACATCTCAAAGGGAGACTGTTGAGAACAACTAAAGAGTACATCGCTGATCAGAGAGTGGGTTCCACTGGGAATAACTTGACAACAGAAGAGCAGCAAGGGTTGAGGTCTTTAAGAGCCAATAAGGACATTGTTGTGTATCAGACGGACAAGTCTGGGAGATTTGCTGTTCACACCCTGGATAACTATCGTGTTGCATGTCGGCCGCACGTGGAGAATGATCTAACTGTAACGGAGGAGTTGCATGACAGAGCACAGACGGAAGCGAATGCACATTCGGTTCTGTGGGTGAGAATCCTCAATGCTGGGGAAGGTGTTGGTGGGAAAGCAAGGATTAAAAGTAACATGCTAGTAAGTGACTGCAACTTGCCCCCTCTGTATGCTGTTAGGAAAGATCACAAGAACGCAGATGACCCCTCTATTGGCCCACCGGTTCGACCAGTATGTGGGGCAGTATCAGCCTACAACAGGAAAGTGTCGCATTTGATGAGTTTTATTTTGGCGGAGGTGTGGAGGGAAGAGAAGAGTGTGTGTCTGAATACTGAGGAGATGTTGGCTGTCGTCAAGAAGTTAAATGACAGCCAGTTCACGGAAGATATTGTCGTTGGCTGAGCTGATGTGAAGGTGCTGTATCGAAGTTTGGACATTAGCCTTACAGTAGACAAAGTTTGTGAAGTCTTCAACACAAGTGGTGTAGAAGTGATTTGGATATATCAACAAAGTTGAAATAGTAAATTGGCCACCGTAACGATTACAAAAGCTGACGTTTCGAGCGTTAGCCCTTTGTCGGAGCGAATAGAGGAATTGTGGGTTGTGTGTGCTTTTAAAGGCAGAAAATGGAGCTAGAAGCACACACAACCCACAATTCTTCTATTCGCTCCGACGAAGGGCTAACGCTCGAAACGTCAGCTTTTATAATCATTACTGTGGCCAATTTACCATTTCAACTTTGTTGATATATCCAAATTATTTCGTTACTCCCACCGACGCAGCCCCAAACAGTTTCTTTCGAAACTATCAACCTTTATTCATTAGTGTAGAAGTGGTCGGGTAAAATGTTGAGGAACTGGGATTATATCTTTCGTTGAATAGATGTGAGTAGGAGTTGAGAAATCTGGGGTTACTCAGGTTTTGCCCGCGACGCAAGACTAACAGAGGCCGACCTCCAACCATCACAGGTAGCGCTGTAGATGAGAACAGAACCAAGAGATATCAACCTTGGCTACCACCGGTTGAGCAGCAGGACGAGATTACTACCAGAAAGATGTTCATGGAAGCGATGAAGGTTGTCCTTTTGTTTATCATGAAAAACCACCTCTACACACTCGACAATCAGATCAAGTTGATGACAGAGGGAGGTCCGATAGGGCTTGAGCTTACTGGGGTCTTGGCCCAGTTCTTTATGGTCTGGTGGGACAGACAAATGGTGGGGTTACGGGTGTACAAAAGGTACAGGGATGATATAGATGTGGTTATGAACGCTTCCGCGGCTGGTATCAGATTTGAGGAGGGAAGTTTTACCCAAAATGAGAACTTTGCACAGATAGAGCAAAACCTCAAGCCAGATAAACGATGCATGCTGTTGTTTCAGTCGATTGGAAACAGCATACACCCTTCTATAACGTTAGAGGTCGACTACCCGTCACGATACGGGGATGGAACACTACCCATACTCGATTTAAAAGTCTGGATAGAGAAGAGAAGAGAAGAGAAGACGTGTGATGATGGGCAAGACCGTGATATGCTGGTCGTGCTACATGAGTTCTACTAGAAAGATGCTGCCTCCAGATCTGTGATAAATGCAAGAGAGGCCTTACCTTGGAATTGCAAGAAAACAATACTTACGCGGGAAGTGTTAAGGATTCTTCTCAACTGTAACAGAGAGTTACCCTGGGAGGTCGTTGTTGCTCACGTCAACCACATAATGTTACGTCTTCAATATTCTGGTTACGATCGGAAGTTTCCAAAAGAAGTAGTACGGTCAGCGTTAGCTGCCTACAACCGACTCGTGGAACTGGATGCAAATGGTGAGAAGCCTTTGTACAGGCTAAGGGAGTGGAGGGCGTTAGAACGGGCGCGATAGAGAAAGAAGAGACGTGACAACTGGTTTAGAAAGGGTGATTATGACACAGTGATTTCGCGCCAGCAACGCCTGGTTCCAAGATTAAACGCCGGTACATACATGAGAGATCGATGCCACAAAGTTTAAGATCAAGGTTGTTGAGCAATCTGGAACAACCCTTAAAGCCATGCTCCAAAAATCAAACTCTTTCAAACAGAGGCGATGCACCAATGCTGACTGCCTTCTTTGCCGGACTGACGGAAAGGGATCATGCCGAAGTACGGGTATTACATGTGAGTTGGTTTGCCACGCTTGTAAATCGAAATATGTAGGAGAGACGTCCAGAAGTGCGTATACTCGCGGTAGAGAACACTACCATGCTTTAGAACGGCGAGAGGAGAACTCTGTTCTGTGGAGACATTGTTGTGACAGGCATGATAGACATGAAGTAGGCTTTGTATTGAATGTAACGGGAAATATGTAGGAGAGACGTCCAGACGTCTCGCGGTAGAGAACACTACCATGCTTTAGAACGGCGAGAGGAGAGCTCTGTTCTGTGGAGACATTGTTGTGACAGGCATGATAGACATGAAGTAGGCTTTGTATTGAATGTAACGGGGGTTTTTCGTGACGATGCAATGTTGAGGCAGATAACGAAATCTTTACTGATAAATAAGGTTGAAGAGGGCGAGTTAATCAATTCCAAAAGCAAATGGAATTATGTCACTAACCCGAGGGCAGTTATGGCAATGTAACAGTTCTAGAGACCTGGTTCCGGGTGGCTACTTTTCGTATATTACTACACGAAGGGTGCGTTTTTTCAAAATCTTTCAAATTTTTAGATTTTTGTTTGTTATCAACTGACGAGGTCGTAGACCAAACTAGTTTCGAAGTTTTCCCAGTAGTGCTTTGAAAGTAGAAGTTAGTTGGAGTTTTTTCACTTACATGGTTATTAAAGGGAATATTGATTTTGATTTTGAAATGGGACACATGTCTAATCATTTCAATACTTATTTATTCTCTGATCTTTGTCCGCGTGCACCGACTATGACAACAGTAGGTCGGGAAAGCTCTCAAAGGCCACTCAGTCAGTAGGTTGCACAGGGAATCACTTTGCAGCATTTATATTCGTATGATCCATGCTACGTGTAGCCCAATTCCCTGGATCAGCCCAACATGAAAATATCAGGCTTATCCATAAGGATAAAAATTTGTTCGAAGTTAACTCAAAAAATTTCAAAGTTGTGCATCGCATGAAAAAAGGGGAACAAATGAGGCCTGTTATCGTTAAAAGCCATACAGCTTCTGTCGATAGGTTTCATTACAATTATACCCTTATGGAGGTATCTAACAAAACTAGGTGACATAAATTTATGGGAACACAAAATAACGTTATTTTAGTGAACCAATCGCATATCATTCATAGATGGCAAACAATGACGGTTGGGGTTTACCGTCGGAGATACATTTCTCGTTTTAAACACCCTACCGGTACTTTGGATAGTGAAGCTATTTCTAAATTTATTCCACAGCACTGCTTTGAAAATCGTTCTGTCTACGCTCCCATTATCATACGCTTGGGTTGTGGGAAGTCTCCAGAAACCCTGGAAGGAAGATGGGAACCAATGGGCTTTGGACTAGTTGGTGTTTACAAAAGTGATTGGGACAAAGTTGGCGGTCTTAATGAAAAAGCATTTGACAAGAAATGGGGCGGAGAGGATTGGGACTTCATGGAAAGAATCATTTATTCTGGAATGGAATATGATCGACTGCGACATCCAAATATTTTTCACTACTTTCATAGTAAAAAGGGCATGTGGGATAATGAGTAAATGAGAGTTAATTCTATTAAGTGGAGGAAAGGGAAACTTCAATAAACCAAACTCATTTATATTTCATAAAACAAAGAAAATAGCAGGTACCTTTGGGAAAGTTCAAATTTAGGAAAAATATGATTTCGACCTTGAACTGTCGAAACCCCAACCCACTGCTGTAAATTTACGTAGTGTCAGGTTTAAACACCTTATACACTTACGGTATTATTTTACAAGACCGTCCGAGAAAGAGTGGAATTTCTACGAATTTTTTTTTGTTTATTTGTTGTTTTGTTTTATTTTGTTTCGTCAAACGTTTTATAGTGTCAAATTTACAAGTCCAATTACACATAGAACTTGAAAAGAGCAGTATCACATCGAACACCCAGGTAGCTTCAACATCACTCTTCAACTTGGCCTTTAAATGTGTTCCTTTCCATACGATCCAAGATATCTCCGTAAACTTTGGTCATCTAGGGTAAATATGGAAACCTTATTTAATTTGATGGTTGCCAGATTTCTTTTTTTTTTTCCGCAAAAACCAAGAAGTGGCTACCTAATATAACTTTAGTCAATTCTTATTCATCTGTTAAAGAAGGAGAGCCCAATGGAAGGAGCAGTCTGACACGACTCGGAACTAAAAGATATCTTGAGTGAGCTGCAGAGCTTCAATAGACGCACCAGCCTCATGCTTGTGAAGAAGCACAGGAAAATAAATAATTTAATCACTTAAAATGGCGTAATATGGAATACCTTATCCTGATAGTTACACTTGAATGTCGACAAGTGATGAAGTAGTCTCATGGCCAATCCACACCATTTCTCGCCGGCTTCGTGACCGCCAGCGCTAGAATGAGAATGGTTTGCATTATGTTTGTGCATTAACAGAAATATTCAAAATATTCGAATCCCTTTTTCTGTAGTTTAGTTGCTGAATTTACAATATCTAAAGAACTGGTTTCCATCAGGGAATATTATACAAGCTGTTCACTACATTAGCGGAGCGTGAAAAGTAGGGCAAAATTGCAGCAATTTACCATAGCCAAAACTAGGGATAAAAATCTAAAAAAAGTTAACGTCAAACATTCTGTAAACCGAAAAATTTCGAATCTGCTTCAGATATCAAGCCATCTCTCGCTCGATTGTGAATTACTGATTGGAAGATATTACCATCAGATGCAATCGGATTTGTACTCTTAAAGCAAACCTCTAACTGTCGAGTAATTTTTGTCTCATTGCAAACTGAGATCCTCTCTGCCATTCCACAAGAAATATCACGATTTCGAAAGGTTTTTTATTGCTGGTCTTTCGGTAGACGGGGTAGCTGGACTGAGAAATATATTATCGCCTTTTCTGACGTAATACTAAAATGTTTTATTGCAACATTTGACTATGTAGTTCATCATCTCAGAAGGCTGTACCTGAATAAGTTTATTCCACAGTTCCATGCCTTTGTCATTAGCCATAAGATCTGAATTTCAGGATAACACCCCTGGATTTTAAAGAGAATGAGCCATTTTATTACCAACATATTTCCTTTGCTTCAATCAATCGTACTATTTACAATTTTACATCGCAGGTTACCACTCAGCATTCGGTTGACAACTAGTACTTATTTCTTTTCTAAGGTAGGAATGGGCCCCAGTGATCTAAACATCGTTTCCTGTCCCTTACCTATCGTGCTACCAACTTCAATGTTTACATATATGCCTATTTTAATGTAGCTTGGATCCAAGTAAACTGCAGCTATCTATTTATTTATGGTGGGTACCTTCGCTTTGTTCTCGATGATTTCACAAATATCCTGGCAAACAGTGAAAGCCTCTTCCTTACTCTCGGCATCACTGCTTCTACCACTACTTAATGAGTGGTGCACTAGACTATGAAAAGCTTTGCTACAAAATTAAAGGAAAAAGTAAGAGAGCGGTATTGTGCACTCGCTTTATAAATTTGCCTTGACAACGGTAGAAGTGAACGCTTGAACAGCTATTGATGTAAATTAAAAACTGATTAACAAGGTAAATGCAATGGGAATCAATTTTGACAAACATAGTTACCTTAATTTAGTAAAGTCGATCACGTCCATGGCTAAGTGTTTCTTTATCGCAATCCTCAGTGCCCTCATGCTTATCTCCCTGTGGTGACAAGGAGGCTCAACTGCAAGTGCTAGAGTCGAATACAAGAAAGTTAGAAGACCGCACAATCAAACTACCCCGGATGGAAATTAGAGGAGCATTAGGAGAACGAATTAATTGCCAACAAAGCTAGAGAAAATGAAACGACACGGTAAATTCGTCAGGAAGAAAAGTGGCATACAAAAAAGACTGAATATGTTTTTTTCTGGAATAAAGTTATTTCTACAACTCAAAATTTGAAAATTGTACCAGCAAATGTTTCAAATGTTCCTGGATCTGCGTTAGGTAGAGCCTCAGCTGCGTCAAGACAGAAACAGAGGTCTGAATCACCCAGTTGTGCTTTTGCTTCGAATTCATACAACGCCAGCAGTAATAACGATTCATCTGGAAGGGATGAATTACTATTGATTTTTAACTCATATAACTCGAGCAACTATGTTGAGACGAACGTAACTTGAAAGGTCATCCATTCTTGAGTCTAACATAAGGCAAAGGAACCTTTGAGTCCAACTTTGGAATAATTATTCGATTCACAAAAAATACAACCTTTTAAAGTTAATTTACAACCCAGTTTGAAAATTGAAAAAAGAAAAAAAGTCCTCACAATGCGTAAATATCTTATCAACGCCCCACAGTTTTAGCCCGCTTGAGAAGCACTAAAAATTGTGGTTAGCACCTTTCAGGCTGCTACCTAAGCCTCCGATTCCAATCTTCTTTCGTAAGACGCGGGATGCATCAACATATTCTAGACACTGCTTTAAAAGCTTAGTCTGAAAAAAGAAAGGAACAAAAAGAAGGATTGTTTAGACGGAGCTAAAATTCATCTCAGAATGAAAATTCAGCAAGTATATTTTCAATTCATCCTAAGTTTCATAAGCTGTTAAGATTGTCATTCTTAGCCAGAGGTCATTCCTCAGTATTGCACTTTGCGTCCTCCGTTTGGCATGAAAAATTTCGTAATCAGGCAAATAAGTGCGCACGTTTTCAAATAACACGGTATTGTTTTACAATCGATAACCAGGTTAAAAGGTCGTAAATGACAAAAGTTTGCCCATAATATCACCTAAACAAGCAAGGCGATTCTGAGGAACCACCTTAATCAGTTCTAGGCTATGACCGGGGTAATCCCTCTCTCTTTTTTATTTTTTGCTAACCAATTAACTGGTAGTTAATTAAGAACGCTCGTTGAAAAAAGGGAAACCACATCGAACTGTTCCATCCTCATCGTGGGATAGAGAAGTACTGTTGAGGGGACATCTCGTAAAATAAAGACGACTTTGAGACGCGGATGGGAACGGGATGTTGATACTTTGCCCTGCACTTACTAAAGACCTTTGTCTGCCTTGTTTGGTCGAAGACACCGCAGTCGATATGGTCAATTCCCATCTTCGTCTCAAAAACATCTTTACTTTACTTCCCTAAAGTTAAACTATTGCTCTGTGACCGAATTAGTTTAGTTTTTTTACGTGATTGTATTATCAATTTGTATTATATGATTTACTGTTCGGTCTGAAAGACGTTTGCAAAACCTTTTCGTCTCCATCGCTTTGCTCTCTTGCTGCTTGAACTGCAGAAGCTGCTGCCATCACCAAACAATTTTTTTGACGAACCAAATTGGATGATTCCATGGGACACAGACAAGAGAACTTGAAAAAAAAAAGACAGTGATGATGTCTGGACTAATCACATTCAAGCATTTATATCAATGAAAAACTTGTACTAAATATTTCCAAAACTAACCCCTTATGCCCACTCTGAGTCCATTCTATCTAAAAGGAAATTGTACGGTCCAATATAACTACTAAGATAAACAATAATATGTTTTCCCTGGACAAATAGGTAAAAACTTCAAAATACGCACCTTGTAACAGAATACGAAAAGTTCCTGCATATCTGCACAACAATCGGTACTTTCTAAAGCTAGATTCCACGCTGAGGATAACAAAATAGACTTATTATATGTATCAAGTTTTCTGTTATCATTTGTTTTATTTCGGAGGAAGGGGGTATTTTTCTTTTAAGTTTTTGTCTAGTAGGTGACTAGAAAATCGCATGGTAAATGATACTATCTTGATTCCTTTCCTCTGTAAAAAACAATCGTCTCTAAATTAAGAACTGAAAATAAATTCTAGCGCCAGATATTAAACTACTTGAGATCCCAACTGTTTTCTGTCTTCAACCATGTCCTTTCCTGACAGGCGTATTTGTTTAATAGGGTTAAAGCTGAAATTTGCATGAATTCTCTGATGTCCAAAGGAGCAATAGGCAGTGATCACATATTCCATATCCTCGTAATGTATCAAATTAAAATAATCTCTTGATTAAATATATAGTATCTGCATGATGTCCTTTTATTTAACTGGATATCGAGCACGGTAAGCATAAACTTCATGTATAATTCACACCTGATTTTAAGATCTCTCCTCGTTTTTGAAAGCTGCAATGTCTGACATATAATTTTTCGCCCCAGTGAAATACAAAAGTATGAAATAGACAGGATAAACTTACCAATTTTCATAAACCATGCGGCTTCTGTTAGCACATTAGAATCCCTGACCAGTTCCATCTGATTCAAGTGATCCAAAGCTAAAAGGGGTTAAGCAAACTTTACAGATAAAAACTACGAACAGAGTAAGGATCCTGCCATTCATCAAGTTGTCCGCTATTTGGGACTCAGTTAAAAATATTTGGCGCTGAATCCGGTGGAAGAAGAAGAGGTCACGATAATAATACCAGGGGTAAGGAAGTTACCTCTATGAAAGGGATACTTTCATTGAAACCTTCCTATAAAACATCTAAAAATGTATTTCACTTACCAGTTTGTAGGTAACGCAGAAAGCTGCTGTGATCTTCCCTGAATCAACGGAAAGAAGCCGCAGAATTGATTCATGATGACAAATTTGATGATGAAAGACAGTCATTGGGCCATATAAGGTACGGTGAACAGTCATGTTATAAAACAAAACATTTTGTGACACTGTTTTCTAAATTCTAACTTGTATAAAAGTATCCATTTCTATTTGTTTTTTTGTTTTTCCTTGGAACATTTCTTGTATTGGTTTTCGACTTTATGTGTTTATGATAGTGTAATGGTGCGATGGCATTGGCGCATATCGAAGGGAATTAATCTCCAATTCACCCTTCTCCTTTTTTTTACCTCGCCTTAATAATAAGTATCCGGGTAGAATTCCTCAACTTACTTTGCTCCAGAATCTGTAGAATGCGTCAGTTTTAATCTTGTAAGACATCTATTGATGACAATTTTTTAAATTAGTGATCACCGCTAATCTTTCTCTTCCAAAAAAAGGAACGCCTCCTGATCTCCACGTCCTATTCTTAATTCTCCGAGCAGAGAATAACAAGTGGGGTTGCCTCACGGATTTTACAGATACATTCGGTAAAATGAAGTACTCACACCAAGATAAAATAAACTGTCTCAGTAAAATAAACAAACTGAGCCTGGCAATTCTGAACAACAAGCATTGGAGGTAAATTGATAAAGA